ATACCTATATCATGCATGTCATCCTGCTTATTTATGTACATATTAAAGCTGGCACAGGTTTTTTTTTCCTGTAACAATCTTGAATTAAACCCAATTTTTGTGTTTGTAAATTAGCCCAAACCAAACAACCTGTTGGATTTTTATATAAAATGTGAAATGTGTTTTCTGCATTTGTAGCATGGCTGCAGTGTATAGTTATTATAAATCTGTCTGAATGTGACCCTGCATTGTGCATGACCCTGACATCACCCCTGACATGACCCTGACATCACCCCCTGACATGACCCTGATATGACCCCCTGACATGACCCTGACATGACCCCCTGACATGACCCTGACATGACCCCCTGACATGGAGATAATTGTAGGCTGACTGGGCCAGGCTTCTATCATTGACCAGCTGTCTCAGTTGGTTACTGTGACAGTATAATGATTGAATCATTCAGAAAATTGTTGTAGATTATTTCTTTGTTTATTTTGTCTTTAGTATATTAGTATATTGAGACTGCAGATTGGAGACCTATGTGAAGCAGTCACCAGGTACTGGCTGCAGGTTGGTGGTTTTTCTCCAGGTACTCTGGCTTTCCTCCACCACCAAAACTTAGCTTGTCCTTAAATGACCCTAATAACTGCTAATAGGATGTAAAGTACAAACAAACCAAACCGAGTCTTTACAGAAAGTATTTGTCAAAGCTTAAGTCATGCATTCAAAACCAAATCACTAATAATATACCGGTATATGGATTCCCATATATACAAGTCCATAGCCTGGCAGAGACATTGCAAACAACAGATTCTAGTTTCTCCCCTTTACCGCTAAACCTAGCTACAATGAACACAAACACACACACATCTTGTTAGTATTCAAACAAATCAAACGGCAACGCATAGATTCCACTATCAAAATCTCATTCATAGCCCGACGACAAAATATTTCCACCACAACCTTCATTTCCTCCCTGCACACTACTTATAAAGAATCAATAACAAGCGAGTAGCACATAGTCACATATATCCATGCCAAAATCTAATCCCCCCTCACTTCTTACACACAAGTTGTGTTACAACATGAACAGAGATTCTGATCAAAGATGTTCTGTCTAAAGACATCGGGGGAACCATATATGGACATGTCGAAGACATCTTTATGGAACACAAAACTATAAAAATTCTATAATGAGGACATTCTTTGATCGGAATGATTTTTTTACAGTGTTAATTCACATATATGACTCAATAACGGTTGAAAGAGAGAAGAAAATATCCATGTCTCAACAACAAAATCCAATTTATGCCTTAACTCATTCACCCCTGATGACACATTTGAACTCTTCCAATTCAAAGGTTGGAATAGTTCATTATGAAATTTCAGGGGTGAATGAGTTAAGGATCCTTGTCCCAATGTTTTTTCCCGTATATATATACAGTGACCTCCCCTATTTTCGTTTTGGATATAACAGCTGTAGCACAGTTAGGTCAGGACGTTGGTTGACCAGGTATCTCAGTCTTTTAAGAGCGGTAGTATAACTGTCTGAAGTCCAGAGTTCAAATTCTGGTCTACTCCTGCTAAACTTGTTTTTTCAAAGAATCAGAACACTATTGATAAAGAGTTTTTTCAAATATCTATTATCTTTCATAAAAATTCCCCAAGGTATGGACTTGTTTTAGAAATGATTTATTAGGGCCTTAGTCATACAACCAAAATTGGTTTCATGTGCATAGTTAGTTTTTGGCAGTGGATGTGCGGGGGTCCTTAAGCTTGCACAGGTCTTTGTTCGGATAACAATTCAAACATGAAATGTCAGATTATAAATTTTAGAGGATTTCTAGCTGAATTTGCATAATTTGACAGTAAATTAAAATTTGAAATTGTTACTTTTGCTGTAAAATGTATGGACAAATGGCATACTGATATTTGTATCACAGCTTTCTATAGATTCTATATCAGTGATATTCTAATGGTATTAGTCGGAGTGTAGCTTTAGGTATACTGAAGAACTTGGTTAGGAATTCCCCGAGGCCGAAGGTACTACGACCTCATCAATAACACAGCATTACCTACGCACATTAAGGTAGGCGTGGATGTTGGAATGAATTGGATCTGCTGAGCTGGCTTTTATACACATAATTGGCAAATCTTTACACAATTATGTAAATCCAAGGGCTATCCATTATCTAAGGACATTGTTTACAAATGGACTTCTGTAACAATTCTAAACAATGCTGATTTTTTTCATTTAAATCATAAATATTTTATATCATAATGTAATATAAAATAGCATTCCGCCTTTAAGTACAGCTAGGCCTTTATCTAAAAATTCATTTCCATTCTCAAGCATGGATTCTGTGCTCAAACTACCTTTATTGTAACTCGCCTAAATTAAACCATGTTACAGAACCACCAAGTCAAGTGTAAACATTCAACACAGTATTTGGCTTGAAGTATCTCAAAACTCTTCCAAATCACACGACAAAATGTGATTTTTCATTGATTTATACCTAAAACAAGATATTGGGCTTGAACACAGAAGCACAAGAACATTTTCTTGAACTGATGGTAAAACAAAAAGTATTGGTAAATTGTATCTATGATTTTAATATTGTCAAAAGCACTTCTAAGTCTGGTCATGTGTGAGGATGAGATGCACGACAAATAAAACTGATATTTAATCAAATGGTGCCTTTAACACATGATCACATGGGGTTTGTTTCTCGATCAGAAGTTAAAAGGTGTTGGGTCATGTGCCCCGACTATGTGGGTTTGGTGCGTATTCTTATCCCCCTCACATTAAAAGCATCTGCAGGCTTCCATCTTGGGCATCAAATGTAATTTGGAAAAAACTTGTTTCATTTACCTTAAAATAAGGTTCGCAAACACGACAATCCAGATTTAATAAGTTTACAAACATGATAATCCAAATTTGATAAGTTTACGAACATGATTATCCAGATTTGGTAAGTTTATGTACATGATTATCCAGATTTGGTTAGTTTATGTACACGATCATCCAGATTTGATAAGTTTACCAACATGATTATCCAGATTATTTGATAAGTTTACGTACACAATTATCCAGATTTGATAAGTTTACCAACACGATCATCCAGATTTGATAAGTTTACCAACACGATCATCCAGATTATTTGATAAGTTTACGTACACAATTATCCAGATTTTATAAGCTTGCATCTGACTAGTACATACATGCATTACCTGTCTTTGATACACAAAACATGGTACATGTACATGTATATACCTGCCGATATAGATTGTACATGATAGTCACTAAATGAATTTTACATTTGCGTTCCTAAAAAGCAACAAAGGAATACGTGAATATCAATCTACTGTATATAGATATACAGTTACAAGAAGAAGCTGTTCCATAAATGAGCACAGCTAATATCACACAATCAAAACCTCAAGGCAGATAATGCTGACCAGGGAAGTTTGATAGATAGAACATGCATTATTATTTAATAATTCAAAAGGCTATATATATTATATATAAATTATCATCACTACTTATATCAGATATATATATATGCATAAAACAATTTGACAGAACAGAGACAGATCCGTTAAATAAGGGATTGGGGTTGGGGAAACAGAATTAAGTAAAAATCATTCTATCATAATTGCAGTGCGATACCCCTACCAATCCCCAATCGCTGAATAACTTTTGGGAGTAAGTTTAAAACAAGAGGCCCAGAGGGCCTGTATCGCTCACCTGAATATGTTTAAAATAATTGGTATGAAGTCAAGATATAGCACTCCATGGTAGGTGCTGTAAGTACATATGAAATTTCAGAAAAATCCATCCAGTACTTGAGATATAGCGAGAACAAACTTCAAACAGAGCCCAACCCCTATGCCCCTAGCGGGGTCATACCCACCAAGTATACAAAATTGAGTCCCCTTGACCCAAGGATGCTCCAGACTAAATAAGGATAAAATCCCTGAATCCCTATGGTAGAAGAAGGATTTTAAAGGTTTTTACTCTATTTCCCCTATTGGGCCCCACCTCTCTGCCACCAGGGGGGTCAGACATACAATTTATACAAAATTGGTTCCCCTTCACCCAAGGGTGCTTCATACCAAATTTGGACAAAATCCTGTCATTCTTACAGAAGAAGAAAGGATTTTGAAGAATTTGCTATGTTTCCCTTATTGGGCCCCTCCCTTCTGTCCCCAGGGGGGCCACACTCGCTGTTTATACAAAATTGAGTCCCTTTTGCTTAAGGATGCTTGAGACTAAATTAGGATAATATCCCTTAATCACTATGGTAGAAGAAGGATTATAAAGGTTTTACCTCTATTTCCCTTTTGGGCCTCGCCCCTCAGTCCCTTGAGGGGCCAGACCTATGGTTTATACAAAATTGGTTCCCCTTCACCCAAGGATGCTTCAGACCAAATATGAAACAAATCCTTTTATTCCTACAGAAGTAGAAGGATTTTAGAGAATTTGTTATATTTCCCCTATTGGGCCCCGCCCCTCAGCCCCCAGGGGGGCCAGACCCACCGTTTATACAAAATTGGTTCCCCTTCATCCAAAGATGATCCACACCAAATATGGAACAAATCCTTTCATTCTTACAGAAGAAAAAGGATTTTAAAGAATAATTTGTGATGTTTCCCCTATTGGGCCACACCCCTCAAGCCCCTGGGGGGCCAGACCCACCATTTATACAAAATTTGTTCCCCTTCACCCAAGATGCTTCTGACCAAATTTGGTTAAAATCAGCTCAGTCGTTCATGGCTAGTAGCGTTTTAAATGAAAAGTTGACGATGGACGCTGCAGTATGGCAAAAGCTCACTATGTGAGTTAAAATTCATGAAACAAAGTTTTGCTCTTCATAATCAAAACATTTTGCTATCAGTGGCAGACGAGAATGACTCTCAACATTCAAAGACTCATTATTCTAATGAGCTTCCTTGTTCTTATAAATGACATGTTGCTAAAGGATACAGCATGAAAAATAAAATGTTTAAAAAAAAATTTCTTGTCTTATTTAATTTACTTCTGAATTGAATTGAACACTTATGTGTGCAGTCATTCATGAAACAACAATCTACTGAACACTGATCAGCCCGGCACAGATGTTTCACTGCTCATGCAAGGCTACATAAGCGTGAGTATATCAGCAAAACAGATCAGTTAAATCCATCTAATAAATTGTGTACCACATTCAATCACATAAGGGAGCTTTGCAATTTGGTAAAATTAGAACGGTTGTTAAATCTTCCAAAATTCTCAAAAAATTGTCCATAGCATACCCTTATTTTAAGCAAGTTGGTAAATTTAGGTGAATTTATAGAAATGCACCGTAAACCCGAAAAAACAATGATATTGACCTCCTCTTTGCTTCTGTCAATACCACTTTTTTAAGGTTCATATCACCTCACATGCACCATTTCAAAAGTCCATAATTGTATAATATGTAATACATCAACTGCACAGAGTATAAAAAAGACAGTCCTTTGATTGTATCTACCCATGTACAGACAATACCCTTTTAATGAACATATCCGTGTACAAAATATACCTCTTGAAACCTGTTCACTGTATTTCAAATATGAGTCATACAAATAAAGTGTAGGCCAAATTTTGCTGACCTAGCTAATACAGTCCAAAGATTATAATGGTATTATATACTTGGTTTAATAAGAGTCCAAAGATTACCATTATACATGTATCACATTCTTATTTACCTATACAAATGAATGTCAAAATATTCTAGCTACTTTGCACAGCCAAAGTTTGGCATTATAAAAGGGGTTTGGCAATACGTTGAGGGAAATGTAAAAAGGAATTGTTAAAAAAAAAGGAAACTGAAACACTAAATTACATTGACGGCAATCAAGGTGGTAAAGAAAATGAAGGACATGATACAGAAGTATCTACTGTACATGTTTACAATCTTCGAAGTTCGGCATACATAGAGATCCATGCATTAGCAGGCAATACTTCAAATCTTCAAAGATAGAAGATTAACCCATTCTGTTGAATATCAAAAACTCTGTACAAGTACGATAAAAAAAATAAGGTCAATAGGTAATTAACCAAGTCTCAATCAGCAAGGATAACATCTAGAACAGCATATCGGCTGCAAAAAAACCCAGACTACATATTAACCAGGAACATGTATTGATAAACCCCCAGACTACATGCTAACCAGGAACATGTATTGATATCATGTTTGATTCAATGCCTGTACATTGTATATAATAATGATCAAAAGATAATGATCTTCATTAGTGATTCAACTCATTCACCCCTGAAATTTCATAATGAACTATTCCAACCTTTGAACTAGAAGAGTCCAAATGTGTCCTCATGATCAGAGGTGAATGAGAATGAGTTAATACCAAACGAAGAACAGGTCGGTTCATTTAGTACAAATTACAAGTTAAGAGGTGCCAGACTAATGATTGTTGTAATTTCGAAAACTGGAGGATTGACAAAACAATAGTACTGGTTTCTTATTAAATGAGTTAACATGAATTTGTAGGCCCTGTGATGTGGATATAAAGTCACAGTAAAGTTTGAGATTGAGTACATTGTATAATGACTAGACTTTGGTTTGAATGCCACTTAATGATATGTTAGATTATAAACCCTAAACGTATATTGCAAATTGTCATAGTATAGGAATTTACGATCACATGACTACAGTGATACACGTAAATCTACGATCACATGACTGCAGTAATACACGTAAATCTACGATCACATGACTGCAGTGATACACGTAAATCTACAATCACATGACTACAGTAATACTCGTAAATTTAAGATCATATGACTGCAGTAATACACGTTAATCTACGATCACATGACTGCAGTAATACACGTAAATCTACGATCACATGACTACAGTGATACACGTAAATCTACGATCACATGACTGCAGTTATACATGTAAATCTATACGATCACATGACTGCAGTAATACACGTAAATCTACGATCACATGACTGCAGTGATACACGTAAATCTACGATCACATGACTGCAGTAATACACGTAAATTTAAGATCACATGACTACAGTGATACACGTAAATCTACGATCACATGACTGCAGTGATACACGTTAATCTACGCTTACCTTTAGAATCCTTGTCCCACTACAAGCAAAACACTGGAAAACTTTCCATATATATACAGTTATCTCCCCTTAATTTTTGTTTCAGATCCAGTAGGACTTGTAATTGGCCATCCCAGGCCTAGGTAGCTCAAGACAGTTGTCCAAGGTCTGAAGTTTGAATCTCGGTTTGATTTATACATTTCATCATTATTTTTTCATTAAAGTTTTGCAAAAACATGCTTTTAAGAAATGATTTATTAAAGCTAATATCATGCCAATAAAACAGATTCCAATTCATTTACAGTTGTTGGCAGAAGTACAGGGATCCTCAACTCATTCACCCCTGAAGACACATTTGAACTCTTCGAAATCAAAGGTTGGAATAGTTCATTATGAAACTTTAGGGGTGAATAAGTTAAAGGTTGTATAAATCGTGGTAATCAATTTCACTGTCCAATATAACAGCTGTATGAGACAAATTTTAATCAGAAACCCGTCAGGTGTACAAGTTTTATGAACTTCTGGCATAATAACAATAAAAAAATCTTAACTTCTGTTACATTTTCCAACTTTTGAAACAAAGGGAAAACTATGGTGAAGATATAGGATGGGAAATGTTAATACTGTACAACAAATTGAAACAACAAAAAAAATGACATACAAATGTGCAGTGTTAAACTGGATCGTGTATATATATGTATTATAGGACAAATTAAAACAACACTGTTACGTATATATATATATACATGTATATATACCCTGTGTATATATAGAGAGAACAACTGACAACCCAGCTGGTGGTACAGGATTGATGTGCAGTACTGTTTCCACAATTTATCTCCGTTAGAAAAGCCGGACTTTACCCCGACAGAAACTAAAACACAGGACAAAGTACTCTTCCCTAAGGGCAATGAACTCATCAACATTGACTAGACCTCGTGTGACATTTAAACGAGACACACGCAGTAAATAGCTTGGTTCAGACACTCATCGCTTACACTCCCCAAATCATGTATGGAAATCTATGCTAAATTAACATTCACACCAATCTTCTACAACCTGCCACTAAAACAATGACATTCACAAAAGAAAAACCTAACAACAAACTTTATATCGATCTTCCAGTCTTACAGATATACTTTTCATTTACACGAATAAACATTAATAAATTGATTTATGAAACACTATCTTTCCATTCTGAACCAAGAGAAGATAACTCTTACTCAATGTAGCACCATGCAAAGGTAAATATTGAGGAGGATATGTGTAACATATCCATCTTGGCTTTTGAATCTTGTGGACAAGTCATGTTGTACGTATGACAACTTTGTTCTGTCCTATTCCAGGTTTGGCTGTAGGATAACGTCTACCTGACTGTCAACGACCGATAACGTTATGCCAAGCTGGGCAGCATAGTAAGTCAACATAATGATTTGGTGATGAAACGGCAAGGGCATCACAAATTTATTGATTGCAATGGTGATATCGGAAATCATGAAAAGAATGGAACCTGCACATCCGCAAAGTTTTGTCCAAGTTACAAGGTCATCGAAAAATCTCACCCTGGCAACCGCTCTCCATCCCATAATGCAAATCAGAGAGATGTAAATCGCAACCAGATAGCTTAAAATTCCATTCAAGGAAGGGCTCAAAATGGAGTAAATTGCTGCTCCAATGGCTGCGAACACTGCAAGTGCATATGGGTTGAATGGTTTCCATCCAAATGCCCTTGCATAGCAAATCTGCGCCACAGCAAACATGAGAATACCAGCCTCAAAATAGGAATCTTTCCATACTAGCAATATGTCGCCAGCGCAGGAGAAGATTAGGCCAATCAGGATTCTGCGTGAGTACCGATAGTATTCGGTTAGATTCATTCCATGCAAAAAGACAAACAGGATGAGCGAGATGATCGGCAAGATTTTGGCCACACAGCAGAAGACACAGTTGTCTTTTTCCTCCCTTCCAAAGAGCACAAAAAAGATGGCCACTGTTTTGAAGAATGGAACCAATTTTGGGCCAATGCTCTTCAGCTACAAAATAAATGAATAAGATTTTACCACAAGGTGTAATTAATGTTATTCTATATGGATGTATATACATACTTATGACAATTGTTCTTTAAGATGTGTGCCTTTGTAAGTGTCTTATGATGATTGTTTTCAACCTTAATAAATAAGATTTTCGCCTTCCTATAGCTATATCATAGGTCAACCGGGTACCCCACTTCATATACCGTTATGTTCCATTGATTGAAAAATAATTATTTTTTTACGATGTGCATGAACATTTATTTGATTTCTTTCTTACTGGTGTTACAGGTTTTGGGTACCAAGTTATGTATTCTTATGTATTATGCAGTTATTTTGTGTATTTTGTAGATATTTGAAAAATTGTATGTATTATGTATATATTTTGTAGTTATTTGAATTTCGGTACATGAACTGAACAAAATTAGCTTTTACTGTATGAATTAAAGTGCTTTCAGTTATTGAATTGAGCTGTTTCGTTTTGATGAAATGTAAATGTATAATTTATAAACCACTTCAGTATATATACATTATATATATGCATTCAGAATCAAATTTAAACCAATATGAAATAAAGTGTAGCTTACTATACATAGCTTTAGATAACATTTAATCTTATTACAGGTGATCCTTAAGAACTTTTTAGGGGGAGGTGATTTGTAATATCAGACCTTGGGGGTAGGTGATTTGTAATATCAGATCTTAGGAGCAGGTGATTTGTAATATCAGATCTTGGGGGTAGATAATTTGTGATATCAGCCTCGAGGGTAGATGATTTGTAATATCAGCCCTGGGGGTAGGTGATTTTTAATATCAGACCTTGGGAGCAGGTGATTTGTAATATCAGCCCTGGGGGTAGGTGATTTGTAATATCAGACCTTGGGAGCAGATGATTTGTAATATCAGCCCCGGGGGTAGGTGATTTGTAATATCAACCTTGGGGTAGATGATTTGTAATATCTTTGGGGTAGAAGATTTGTAATATCAGCCTTGAGGGAGGAGATTTGTAATATCAGCCTTGAGGAAGGTGATTAGTAATATCAGCCTTGAGGGAGGTGATTTTTAATATCAGCCTTGAGGGAGGTGATTTGTAATATCAGCCTTGAGGAAGGTGATTAGTAATATCAGCCTTGAGGGAGGTGATTTTTAATATCAGCCTTGAGGGAGGTGATTTGTAATATCAGCCTTGAGGGAGGTGATTTGTAATATCAGACCTTGAGGGAGGTGATTTGTAATATCAGACCTTGGGGGTAGATGATTTGTAATATCAGCCCCGGGGGTAGATGATTTGTAATATCAGACCTTGGGAGTAGGTGATTTGTAATATCAGCCCCGGGGGTAGGTAATTTGTAATATCAACCTTGGGGGTAGAAGATTTGTAATATCAGCCCCGGGGATAGGTGATTTGTAATATCAGCCTTGAGAGTAGGTGATTTGTAATGTAAGCCCCAGGGGTAGGTGATTTGTAATATCAGCCTTGGGTGTAGATGATTTGTTATATCAGCCTTGAGGGAGGTGATTTGTAATATCAGACCTTGGGGGTAGAAGATTTGTAATATCAGCCCCAGGGGTAGGTGATTTGTAATATCAGCCTTGGGGGTAGATGATTTGTAATATCAACCCTGGGGGTAGGTGATTTTTAATATCAGACCTTGGGAGCAGGTGATTTGTAATATCAGCCCCGGGGGTAGGTGATTTGTAATATCAACCTAAGGGTAGATGATTTGTAATATCTTGGGGGTAAAAGATTTGTAATATCAGCCTTGAGGGAGGTGATTTGTAATATCAGTCTTGAGGGAGGTGATTTGTAATATCAGCCTTGAGGGAGGTGATTTGGAATATCAGCCCCGGGGGGAGGGGATTTGTAATATCAACCTTGGGGTAGATGATTTGTAATATCTTGGGGGAAGAAGATTTTTAATATCAGCCTTGAGGGAGGTGATTTGTAATATCAGCCCCGGGGGTAGGGGATTTGTAATATCAACCTTGGGGTAGATGATTTGTAATATCTTGGGGGTAGGTGATTTGTAATATCAGCCCTGGGTGTAGATGATTTGTAATATCAGCCATGAGGGAGGTGATTTGTAATATCAGCCCCGGGGGTAGGTGATTTGTAATATCAACCTTGGGGTAGATGATTTTTAATATCAGCCATGAGGGAGGAGATTTGTAATATCAGCCCTGGGGTTAGGTGTTTGTAATATCAACATTGTGGTAGATGATTTGTAATATCAACCTTGGGGTAGATGATTTTTAATATCTTGGGGGTAGAAGATTTGTAATAACAGCCTTGAGGGAGGGGATTTGTAATATCAGACCTTAGGGGAAGGTGATTTGTAATATCAGCCATGAGGGAGGTGATTTGTAATATCAGACCTTAGGGGTAGGTGATTTGTAATTTCAGACCTTGGGAGCAGGTGATTTGTAATATCAGCCCTGGGGGTAGGTGTTTGTAATATCAACATTGGGGTAGATGATTTGTAATATCTTGGGGGTAGAAGATTTGTAATATCAGCCTTGAGGGAGGTGATTTGTAATATCAGACCTTGGGGGTAGATGATTTGTAATATCAGCTTTGGGTGTAGGTGATTTAAAAATTCAGCCTAGCTTTAGGGAATAGGTGATTTGATGTCAAGCTTTGATTGGATGATTTATATCAACCCGCAAGTAGGTGATTTGTATATAAATGAACTTTCAACCACAAGATTTGTAATATCAGCCTTGGGTGTAGATGATTTGTAAAATCAGCCTTGGGTGTAGATGAATTGTAATATCAGCCTTGAGGGAGGTGATTTGTAATATCAGCCTTGAGGGAGGTGATTTGTAATATCAGCCCCGGGAGTAGGTTATTTGTAATATCAGACCTTGGGAGTAGGTGATTTGTAATATAAGCCACAGGGGTAGGTGATTTGTAATATCAGACCTTGAGGGAGGTGATTTGTAATATCAGCCTTGAGGGAGGTAATTTGTAATATCAGCCCCGGGGGTAGGTGATTTGTAATATCAGACCTTCGGGTAGATGATTTGTAATATCAACCTTGGGGTAGATGATTTGTAATATCAGCTTTGGGTGTAGGTGATTTAAAAATTCAGCCTAGCTTTAGGGAATAGGTGATTTGATGTCAAGCTTTGATTGGATGATTTATATCAACCCGCAAGTAGGTGATTTGTATATAAATGAACTTTCAACCACAAGATTTGTAATATCAGCCTTGGGTGTAGATGATTTGTAAAATCAGCCTTGGGTGTAGATGAATTGTAATATCAGCCTTGAGGGAGGTGATTTGTAATATCAGCCTTGAGGGAGGTGATTTGTAATATCAGCCCCGGGAGTAGGTTATTTGTAATATCAGACCTTGGGAGTAGGTGATTTGTAATATAAGCCACAGGGGTAGGTGATTTGTAATATCAGACCTTGAGGGAGGTGATTTGTAATATCAGCCTTGAGGGAGGTAATTTGTAATATCAGCCCCGGGGGTAGGTGATTTGTAATATCAGCCTTGAGGGAGGTGATTTGTAATATCAGCCCCGGGGGTAGGTGATTTGTAATATCAGACCTTCGGGTAGATGATTTGTAATATCAACCTTGGGGTAGATGATTTGTAATATCAGCTTTGGGTGTAGGTGATTTAAAAATTCAGCCTAGCTTTAGGGAATAGGTGATTTGATGTCAAGCTTTGATTGGATGATTTATATCAACCCGCAAGTAGGTGATTTGTATATAAATGAACTTTCAACCACAAGATTTGTAATATCAGCCTTGGGTGTAGATGATTTGTAAAATCAGCCTTGGGTGTAGATGATTTGTAATATCAGCCTTGAGGGAGGTGATTTGTAATATCAGACCTTGGGGGTAGATGATTTGTAATATCAGCTTTGGGTGTAGGTGATTTAAAAATTCAGCCTAGCTTTAGGGAATAGGTGATTTGATGTCAAGCTTTGATTGGATGATTTATATCAACCCGCAAGTAGGTGATTTGTATATAAATGAACTTTCAACCACAAGATTTGTAATATCAGCCTTGGGTGTAGATGATTTGTAAAATCAGCCTTGGGTGTAGATGAATTGTAATATCAGCCTTGAGGGAGGTGATTTGTAATATCAGCCTTGAGGGAGGTGATTTGTAATATCAGCCCCGGGAGTAGGTTATTTGTAATATCAGACCTTGGGAGTAGGTGATTTGTAATATAAGCCACAGGGGTAGGTGATTTGTAATATCAGACCTTGAGGGAGGTGATTTGTAATATCAGCCTTGAGGGAGGTAATTTGTAATATCAGCCCCGGGGGTAGGTGATTTGTAATATCAGCCTTGAGGGAGGTGATTTGTAATATCAGCCCCGGGGGTAGGTGATTTGTAATATCAGACCTTCGGGTAGATGATTTGTAATATCAACCTTGGGGTAGATGATTTGTAATATCAGCTTTGGGTGTAGGTGATTTAAAAATTCAGCCTAGCTTTAGGGAGTAGGTGATTTGATGTCAAGCTTTGATTGGATGATTTATATCAACCCGCAAGTAGGTGATTTGTATATAAATGAACTTTCAACCACAAGATTTGTAATATCAGCCTTGGGTGTAGATGATTTGTAAAATCAGCCTTGGGTGTAGATGATTTGTAATATCAGCCTTGGGTGTAGATGATTTGTAATATCAGCCTTGAGGGAGGTGATTTATAATATCAGCCTTGAGGGAGGTGATTTGTAATATCAGCCCCAGGGGTAGGTGATTTGTAATATCAGACCTTGGGAGTAGGTGATTTGTAATATAAGCCCCAGGGGTAGGTGATTTGTAATATCAGACCTTGAGGGAGGTGATTCGTAATATCAGCCTTGAGGGAGGTAATTTGTAATATCAGCCCCGGGGGTAGGTGATTTGTAATATCAGCCTTGAGGGAGGTGATTTGTAATATCTGCCACGGGGGTGGTGATTTGTAATATCAGACCTTGGGGTAGATGATTTGTAATATCAGACCTTGGGAGCAGGTGATTTGTAATATCAGCCCCGGGGGTAGGTGATTTGTAAAATCAACCTTGGGGTAGATGATTTGTAATATCTTGGGGTTAGAAGATTTGTAATATCAGCCTTGAGGGAGGTGATTTGTAATATAAGCCCCAGGGGTAGGTGATTTGTAATATCACCCTTGGGGTAGATGATTTGTAATATCTTCGGGTTAGAAGATTTGTAATATCAGCCTTGAGGGAGGTGATTTGTAATATCAGACCTTGGGGGTAGATGATTTGTAATATCAGCTTTGGGTGTAGGTGATTCAAAAATTCAGCCTAGCTTTAGGGAGTAGGTGATTTGATGTCAAGCTTTGATTGGATGATTTATATCAACCCGCAAGTAGGTGATTTGTATATAAATGAACTTTCAACCACAAGATTTGTAATATCAGCCTTGGGTGTAGATGATTTGTAATATCAGCCTTGAGGGAGGTGATTTATAATATCAGCCTTGAGGGAGGTGATTTGTAATATCAGCCCCAGGGGTAGGTGATTTGTAATATCAGACCTTGGGAGTAGGTGATTTGTAATATAAGCCCCAGGGGTAGGTGATTTGTAATATCAGACCTTGAGGGAGGTGATTCGTAATATCAGCCTTGAGGGAGGTAATTTGTAATATCAGCCCCGGGGGTAGGTGATTTGTAATATCAGCCTTGAGGGAGGTGATTTGTAATATCTGCCACGGGGGTGGTGATTTGTAATATCAGACCTTGGGGTAGATGATTTGTAATATCAGACCTTGGGAGCAGGTGATTTGTAATATCAGCCCCGGGGGTAGGTGATTTGTAAAATCAACCTTGGGGTAGATGATTTGTAATATCTTGGGGTTAGAAGATTTGTAATATCAGCCTTGAGGGAGGTGATTTGTAATATAAGCCCCAGGGGTAGGTGATTTGTAATATCAGACCTTGAGGGAAGTGATTTGTAATATCAGCCTTGAGGGAGGTGATTTGTAATATCAGACCTTGGGGGTAGATGATTTGTAATATCAGCTTTGGGTGTAGGTGATTCAAAAATTCAGCCTAGCTTTAGGGAGTAGGTGATTTGATGTCAAGCTTTGATTGGATGATTTATATCAACCCGCAAGTAGGTGATTTGTATATAAATGAACTTTCAACCACAAGATTTGTAATATCAGCCTTGGGTGTAGATGATTTGTAATATCAGCCCCGGGGGTAGGTGATTTGTAATATAAGCCCCAGGGGTAGGTGATTTGTAATATCAGACCTTGGGAGTAGGTGATTTGTAATATAAGCCCCAGGGGTAGGTGATTTGTAATATCAGACCTTGGGAGCAGGTGATTTGTAATATCAGCCTTGAGGGAGGTGATTTGTAATATCAGCCCCGGGGGTAGGTGATTTGTAATATCAGACCTTGGGAGTAGGTGATTTGATGTCAAGCTTTGATTGGATGATTTATATCAACCCGCAAGTAGGTGATTTGTACATAAATGAACTTTCACCACAGGATTTGTATATCGGCATTCTTATACATGTAGGTGCATGATTTAAACAAGCATCTTCTAACAGGTGATTTTTACATATGTAGAGGAAAGGAACTTGACTGGGTCATTTAAATTTGCTGGCTACCAGCTCCTATTACATATATACAGCCTCAACAAAGATGTTCATGTCAAAACAATTGTAAATGGCATTGGGCATCACGCCACACACGTGTCGTCAGTTGGGTACTAAATTATTGACCAGACAAACCTGTAGGTGCTGACTGAACATGTCACACTTACTACACAACTGTACCACAGCTGATGAGCACTTGTTGGATGTTCACATGTTAATCATAGGAAGATAATACTGGGTACAAATAACAATGGTCACGGTTGACTTAAAATTAGATTTAAAATTACATCATCTTCGACACATATGTAAAAATACCAGATTGTGTCTGGAGTTTACTGTTTGTATTCATATATATATATCCCTACCTAAAATAATAACATTCCTATAAATAGGTGCTGACTGAATATATCACATGTATTATGGCTTTACTTTTATTTATCTACATAAAGGATCCTTGAAATGAAAACCAATGGAAAACTTTCATAAGAAAGAAACATTCTCCAAGCTCCAAGCCCAAGTTGTTCAGAGGTTAGTAAAATTAACCAGTGGTTAGTGAAAATTTCACAAATTGTTGCCACTTAAAAAACAAGGGCTTCCAATTGACAATTAATCCTTAAAACAAATAAATCGTTATCAGTGAAATTATGTCAGATGTTCTTTTAAAATGTTCACTAACCAGTGGTTATATTATTCTGACTAACATTAGAGCAACTGGGGCCGGATCCCCTGTAAGAACATAGCTTATATAGCTACTGGTAGTAGATTGTATAGGCAAAGATTGCTTGACAAGAGTTTGGAGGTTTTGGTGTGTTAACTAATTCACCCCTGAAGACACATTTGAACTCTTTCAATTCAAAGGTTGGAATAGTTCATCATGGAATTTCAGGGATGAATGAGTTTATATGTATATACAATTTTGTATGTATATATACCAATCTTTTGTATTTCCTCTTAATTGTACACTGGTGTCTGTTAAATATTGAACGTCAGCTGGTTTACCATGCAGGTAACAATATTTTATTAAAAATCTGCATATCTATCTAACCTTATATTAAAACATTAACATTATTACGTTTTCTCAGTTTTCAAATAAGAATTTGAAATTTCCATTAAAGCAATGCAAGGAATACAGTAGGTTCAATTATTTCCAAGAAAGTTTTAATCAATACAAGGATCAGTCAGCATGAAAGCAGTTATATTTTAATTACTGTACAGTGTACTGATTGAAATGTATGAAATGTACTGATTGCAATTTGAATAATCTTGGTTTTTGGTTGCAAATATTGCAAGCTTGATCTCTGTTTAGAAAAAAATGTAGAAAAAGCCAATAACATTAGTAAATGGCATTAGTGAGGCCACATGAATAGATGGTTTAATTGAATCCCACAAGTACAAACTTTTTGGGGATGATATTTTACAGTAGTAGCATACGTACAACATTGTAACGACTATGTAAATTTAGTTTAGCGATAATGATATGATAATTATATGCAGTGATCACACTGACAACAGACAGCATTTTAGAGAGTAAAGTTATGAACATTCAAGATGTGAAATTGTGCCTGTACATTTTAAGCTTATGTGAATTTTGTAAACAAAGGTTACAAAGTTACATATGCATGGTTATCACACACATGTTCACTTTTTTATTTTTTTTTAAAAGCTGTTTGTCAATATTATGAATTCTGTGCCAAAGAATAAACCTTGTGGGATTTAATTGTTGTGTCCGAGTTCTTTTGATAATCGGCTGAGTCCAGTGACAAAGGGCAGTCACATGTTGAGAACGCCTGACAGACGACGTCATTGAGCTCACAATGGCGCAATGCCAAAGATGTTGACTTCTTTTGTCATAAATTATGTAAACAGATGGATCGATTCCCAAAACGAGCTGTGGAAAACGAGACAAATCGTCGAACGTTTATATTTCCTCACGTTAAAACTGAGTGAATTACAAAGTACAACGGAAACAGGACCTATATATATAATACAGTTTATAACAGAACAATGAACCGGGGGGAACACGGACATAATAAGTTATATCAAAATAGGCCTAAACTCTTTCAGAGATGAAATAAAGACGATTTTATCGGATCGTTTCATAAAACAAAATGGCAAAACTGTACTGGTTCACATGATTAGAAACCCACAGATAAACAAAACGACGCAGATGTAATTCTAGTCAGTGAATGAGTGACAGAATATACTGTGTATTCATATAATCGCTGGTCACATGCTTCAACTGTTCAACGTCAGCCAAATGTTCATGAAATTGTCAAAATGAACATTCATTCAATGTTAAAATCTTACCACTGTCAGAGGCTTTGTCATTCTAATATCCTGTCTCGCCATTTTCTCTGTATCAGGCATTTTCTCCAGTTTTGCTTCAATGTGTATTCCTCGATAAATATTCACAATCTGTCCTTCTCCGTCCTTACGCTCTTGTTTACATCAAAATTCTATTTTTAGCTAGACTGTAGACGTCATGATGTGTATTTCCTTTCAATATACCATCGAAGTTTTGATTGGTCAAAACTGGAGGTGTGTCACTGCATTAACAAATCGCATCGTTTGGAACAAAGTATCATTCATAACGTCGATTGGTTAGGAAATGTATAGAACATCCAGTGAAAAGCATCGTTTCTTAGACATTTTGTTGGTAAATTAGAGATGGCGCTGCTATACATTGAGGAAGTAACTTCATCATCATCTTTACTGTGATGTTCACAATTCAACAATATTATTATGGCAGGGCTACTGAGGAATATAATCGGTAACAAGGAACAGGAACTCCTAGAAGCTGCAAAACACGGAAAAGAAGACGTGGTTGAAAAATTGGTATACAAGAATTTGAAAGGTAGACCGACAACATCGTTTGTCGGAATCAGGTAAGAATCTGTTTTGACAGTTCTGTGTGTTAATAATAATAATAATATTTATTCAGGTAAAATAGACATGTTATTACAAGATATCTCAATTTAGAATAAAATATATATTTAAAATCACATTGCAGCTTGTAAATAAAAAAAGAGTATTTTGTATTAAGACTGAGAATAATAATAGATCTGACCTAATAAAAGGTTTTTTAATTCAATCATTGACATATATCACACAGAGTATAAACATCTAAAAAAGTCTGATACGTTGTAAATGAGACAAAATGAGACAGACTATTTTAGTAAATGAAGGTATTTATAAATAAATAGATCGCATAATAGGAGTGGTGGTGATTGCCATTTACCTAGGATTACCCATAAAAGCCACAAAGTGGCTTATTTGCAATGGGGTCCTTTAAAAATCGAAGAAAAATAATGAAAATAAAAAATAATGATAAAAAATACAATAAATAAACAGTGTTGTGACAAAACTGCCCATTGTCATCCCATTTCGTTTGACAGTAGCGTTTCTGTAGATAGTTCTTTGCGGTAGAGCCAATACTGATGGCAATTATCAGTTTTCAATCCAATGTTTATAATGGATTGGTTCCGTTATACTGTTATTTTATATAATATTATCAGCAGAAACATCTGTTTAGGGGGAAAATATATATATAGACAAACGTGGACTCCAGGTTGAACAAAAGCTTTTATTTATGTCAACAAGACAAGACTGAAAACACATGTTTGTTGCAATTGATATCAATGAATACATCACTTGTCATAAGTCAGTAAATCTGTCAATTTATGGTAATTGATCAATTACAGAGAGATTAATTTCTGTTCCCTATATATATATATATCTTGTCTCATCATATCGTTGCCAGTACTAGTGGCACCACTGTGGTACCTGGTTCATCAAGACTTTTAATAATAAATACTTTCCTTGCATTTAAAAGATATATTCTATTGTGGAGGAACGAATCTGTGTGCTCAAAGCTAAAAAAAAAAAAAAAAAAATGAAATATGTGTGTATAATGTAAATGAAAAATAACACTTTGAAATGGCATCATATGAGTTGTTCTTGCTGATAAAATCATTAGATCTTAGAAATAAAGCAGTATAGAAAAGTTCAGTAAGTTTTTTGAATGAAAAAAGTTCAATTTTAGGGTCCAAAATCAGAAATCTCTTTCCGAAATTGGAAGAGTTGACAAGTATGTTAACTGACTTCCAAAATGTTTGTATTCCTTTGAGTGGATGGTCTGAAGTACAATCACTGATCATTAGATATTTTCAGGGGTTTTTCATGGTACTTTTTAGGCAGGGTTACTGTGACCTACATTTTGACCTTTAACCTTCAGTAAAAGTGCTTAATACGTAAGATACCTCTCGTCCAGAGTACATCGATCTCCCCCATCGTTTCAGCTGCAATCATCCAAGTTGGTTTGCAGGTACATGTGTGTGGGTTGAAGTGTTCTATCTATCTATCTATATGTTATACTCCACAGACACCAAAATGGCTTTAATGCAGAGGTGTTATGTAAGTGGGTTTTGACAATAACTTCCTGTATATCTCAATGATACGAGTAGTTGTGGATATTGCCATCCTGTTGCAATCTTGTATGTCCAGTTTATATGGAAATATTATGTAGTGAATGATTTCATTGATGTCTATATAGCTAGTTGTTCTCCTTTAACTGTGCCATTAAATTGGTACATGATCATGAATATCTTGAGTGTAAAATCCCTTTGGGCCTTTTGTTTTTAAAAGAAAGACTACTTCCTACATATAATATTAAAGCAACCTACTGAAATATGACCAAATATTTGATTTGACCTATTATAAGTCTATGACATAGATTATGTCAGCTTTTGCTAGGGGGAAATTTGTTCATAATAAACTAGTATTTGTAAACAAATACAAAACCTCATTTTATATTGTAATTGTCCTGTCTTATGTTGATTTATTTTATTAGTCTTTTGTGCGATCGTGTCAATCTTGTTTAAGAGTCCATTGACAATTCTTTTGACATATCTCCATTTCAATCTATCTAAGTACATGCTTAAGCTGAAAGAGGTTTCACATATAATCCTATAAACTATAGTTATTTTTCAATGAAATTTTCAATTGCATAATTAACTTATATGGTCACTCATAAAGGATATGCAAACAAATGAAACTATATTCCCAACAGTTTCTGTAACCATAATCACTTGCAATTGTCATATTATACAATGTTTTTCATTCATGAAGTTAAATCATCCTGATTAATGCAACTTAACCCACACCCCTCTTACTTTATCAATAAAGCAATACAAGAATGCATATACATTCCTCTTTTATGTAAGTTCCCCCTTCTTTAAACCCTGGTAAATCATTGTTACATATATATATAAACTTTATCAATCCACAGATTTTCAAATTCCTTTTCAGGTTTGAAAAACATAACTATATTTTTCAAACCCTTTCCTCTCCTGTAAACAAAAGTCTTGATTTCCATTATGATTAACCAAAAGCTTTTGATCCTGAAGACACACTAGACCCTCTACCCATTATGTGGGTATACATTGATCCTGAAGACACACTAGACCCTCTACCCATTCTGTGGGTATACATTGATCCTGAAGACACACTAGACCCTCTACCCATTCTGTGGGTATACATTGATCCTGAAGACACACTAGACCCTCTACCCATTCTGTGGGTATACATTGATCCTGAAGACACACTAGACCCTCTACCCATTCTGTGGGTATACATTGATCCTGAAGACACACTAGACCCTCTACCCATTCTGTGGGTATACATTGATCCTGAAGACACACTAGACCCTCTACCCATTCTGTGGGTATACATTGATCCTGAAGACACACTAGACCCTCTACCCATTCTGTGGGTATACATTGATCCTGAAGACACACTAGACCCTCTACCCATTCTGTGGGTATACATTGATCCTGAAGACACACTAGACCCTCTACCCATTCTGTGGGTATACATTGATCCTGAAGACACACTAGACCCTCTACCCATTCTGTGGGTATACATTGATCCTGAAGACACACTAGACCCTCTACCCATTCTGTGGGTATACATTGATCCTGAAGACACACTAGACCCTCTACCCATTCTGTGGGTATACATTGATCCTGAAGACACACTAGACCCTCTACCCATTCTGTGGGTATACATTGATCCTGAAGACACACTAGACCCTCTACCCATTCTGTGGGTATACATTGATCCTGAAGACACACTAGACCCTCTACCCATTCTGTGGGTATACATTGATCCTGAAGACACACTAGACCCTCTACCCATTCTGTGGGTATACATTGATCCTGAAGACACACTAGACCCTCTACCCATTCTGTGGGTATACATTGATCCTGAAGACACACTAGACCCTCTACCCATTCTGTGGGTATACATTGATCCTGAAGACACACTAGACCCTCTACCCATTCTGTGGGTATACATTGATCCTGAAGACACACTAGACCCTCTACCCATTCTGTGGGTATACATTGATCCTGAAGACACACTAGACCCTCTACCCATTCTGTGGGTATACATTGATCCTGAAGACACACTAGACCCTCTACCCATTCTGTGGGTATACATTGATCCTGAAGACACACTAGACCCTCTACCCATTCTGTGGGTATACATTGATCCTGAAGACACACTAGACCCTCTACCCATTCTGTGGGTATACATTGATCCTGAAGACACACTAGACCCTCTACCCATTCTGTGGGTATACATTGATCCTGAAGACACACTAGACCCTCTACCCATTCTGTGGGTATACATTGATCCTGAAGACACACTAGACCCTCTACCCATTCTGTGGGTATACATTGATCCTGAAGACACACTAGACCCTCTACCCATTCTGTGGGTATACATTGATCCTGAAGACACACTAGACCCTCTACCCATTCTGTGGGTATACATTGATCCTGAAGACACACTAGACCCTCTACCCATTCTGTGGGTATACATTGATCCTGAAGACACACTAGACCCTCTACCCATTCTGTGGGTATACATTGATCCTGAAGACACACTAGACCCTCTACCCATTCTGTGGGTATACATTGATCCTGAAGACACACTAGACCCTCTACCCATTCTGTGGGTATACATTGATCCTGAAGACACACTAGACCCTCTACCCATTCTGTGGGTATACATTGATCCTGAAGACACACTAGACCCTCTACCCATTCTGTGGGTATACACCCCCAGAATCAGTCATTGGGGAGATCTACCCACTTTGAATATCTATGTATGATGGTATAATGGCACTTATTAACTACTTGATACATAAATAATGGAAACCTTATAGTCATATATGAAATTTATCATTTTGACTCCCTTCCTTCATACAACTTTGTTGATCTCCACCCCCAAGAATCAGTCAATTAAATTCTGAAATTGATCAATTTGACTCCCTAGCTTCCCCCTACACCCTGGGTGACCCTCTACCCCCAAGAATCAGTCAACCAAATTCTGAAATTTATCATTTTGACTCCCTTCCCCTTCCCCTCCTGTTACCCCATTCCTCAGAATTGGTCATGGAGAGGGGGTTAGGGAGCTGGGTTTGGGAGAGGGGGGGGGNTCCATGGTAATACAGTATTCATATGTAAGTGGGGAATTTTCATTTAAAATGAGCTGAAACATTGATGTTCTTCAAGGTAAACCAGCATTTAACCAGGTATTGTGCATGGCCATATATTATGCATTACTTAATTGTTATGAACACTTTATTAAGTAGTCAACTTCCTGTTTTGTATACTTATCAGTTAAAATTCCTAGGTCTTCCTGTGTTTGTGTTATATATATATATCACAGACGTTATCAATGCTGCACATAGTTATAAATACTGGCCACAGCACCTCAAGTAGTTCCAGGGAGAAATAGTCATGTTCACCGTTGATAGTAATTTTTTAAGCACCCTTGGTGTTTATCTGATTATGTACAATATACATAGACATAGAGGTAG